TCAGTTTTACTATGAAACTTAAAATGCTCTAAAAAATAAAGTCCAGCCAGGCATGGCAGTGCATGCCTGTAATGCTAGCACTTTGGAAGGCTGAGGTGGGAGGATCACTTGAGTCCAGTTATTCGAGACCAGCCTGGGAATCATAATGAGATTCCATCTCTTACAGAAAAAAAAAAAATTAATAAATAAAAAATAAAGTCTATTTTTTTTTTTAAATTTAAGCTGTGACATACTTAATAAATGTTTAAAAATGTATGAAAGAATAGTAAATGAGTTAATACATGAGATGTGATTAGATCAATACCTGGCATGTAATAAGTGCTTAGTAATCATTTCGCTATTGCTGCTGTTGTTACTATCACTAAGATTCTCACTACTAATAATCCTTACCAAAACACAGGGAAGTGGCAATTATTACCTCCATTTTACAGAGGAGGAAATGCAGGCTCAGAGAGGCTAAGGGCATTGCTTAAAGTCACACATCAAGTGTTAGTGCTGGCATTAGACTCTATCCACACTACCTCCGCAATGAGTGGCTGCAAATAAACGTATCCAAAATCAGCAAAGACGTCTTTCTTACATTTCTAACTTTAAAGAAGCATAATAATTGTGAGCAAACTCATTTTGACCAAAAGCAGCGCCTCCAAAGATGGCTATTATGAAAGAACATGATTAATTGTTAGACATTGAGTTCAAATAGGAAGCCCTTTAAAGTACTAAATCTCTTGCTGGGTCAAGTAGCTTAGGAAGTCTGGCAGCTTGGGAAGGAAGCTCAAGATCAGGCATCAGAAACAGACAAGATCTTTCCACCATTCACCCTGCCTCGGCAATGAAAGGCTACAAATAAATGTATTTGAATCAGTAAAGATCAGGTGTCAGAAGCTGAGTCCTGGCTCTCTTGCTCACTACTCCGACATCTTGGGCAAGTTACCCAAACCCTCTTTACTTCAGGTGATGATTGTGAGGATTAAATAAGATAATGTATGTCATTGCAATGTGAACCACAAGAGCTCTGGAAAAATATAAGCCATGACTGTTATAATCACAATCCAGGTGCCAACAAAATATATTTCTTATGAACATAAGATCAAAGGCAAAACTGTCCAGCATTTTTGAATTGATCCTTTAACAGATAAAATGAGCTTGAATGAAATTCTTCAGCATTTTACATCATTTCCATTCCTAGAAACCACAAGCTAAAAAAAGAACCTGGAGATGTTCACTTGGAAACTCCAGCTCATTTTCCTTCTTTGTTCTTTTGGGACTCTGAAGAATATTCAAATATTACATCCTTTCATCTCCTGAGCCTCTATATAGAAACCAGATGAGAAATACTTTTGTTCCAGGGGGCAAGACCCACCATTTTCATTAAACTGCATGACTGTTAGCAAGTGCAAATATTTTGTTCCCTAGACATTGCAAAAACTAGGGAGAGAGCAAGGCTCATTTCAGTGGGAAAATGGAGTGCCTTTCAAATACTGTTGGCTCCCTGTGGAGTCAGTGAAAAGAGGAATCTACAAGTCCAAATTTTCTCACCCAAATAACCAAAGCATGAACTCCTTCACCAAGGAGGAGAACTGAAGAAAAGGGAAAGGATAAAGTGAGTAAATGCATGTCTGTACCTACTAAGCTGCTTTACCCTCAGCAGCAACCTTTCCTCACTCCATATGTTCACTCATCTGCATAATTCATCCTTTTTCTTGACTACAATCCTACTCTTCTCCTCTAACTCGTCACACAATTTAAAAGCATTCTCCGAATTTCTGTTTTAACTCCTATGTTAATTGCCAAACTAGCTACAAATAAAGAAGCTCTATTCCCCCAAAGAGCTAAATAATGAAATCTCTTGCCTTCTCCGCTGTACTTCCAGAAAGTCTCAAGTCAAATTGTGATTCCTTAGGCAGGAGATGAGACAGTCAAACTCTCAAAAACCTGAATATCTTAAAAACACACAAACAAACAAAAATACTGACACTCTGAGGAGTCTCTCCATTCTACCCACAACAGATCATGAAAAAAAAAAACTTAGCTTGCAACCTGGCCACTCCATAGTGAGACCCAGAAATGGACAAGCTGTCCTCAAGCATACAAATGCCAGTCAGCTTAGTGTCTCCTCACATTCAAATATGGGTACGTTGACAAAAATCATCAAATACAGATGAAAACAGGCAGAAAAAAGGTGAGACTCAGAAAACAGAGACAATGAAAGCAACAGAATAATCTTAAAAACAAACACAAAGAAACATTTGACTAATGCTCTCTCTTTGAAGAGAAAGAAGAATAAAATGTAGCCATGAAACAAGAAGACTAAAACAAAATAGCAAAACAGAAATCAGGAAAGAACTCTTCGCCTGAGCCCGCGAGTTCGAGACCCACCTAGGCAATTTGGCAAGACCTCATCTCTACAATAAATGAAAATTTAGCCGGGCATGGTAGCGCACGCCTGTAGTTCCAGCTACTTGGAAAGCTGAGGCTGAAGGATCGCTGGAGCTCAGCATGTCGAGGCTGCGGTGGCCCGGAGTGGTCACTGCACTCCAGTATGGGCAACAGAGTGAGACTCCAACTCAAAAAAAAAAGGAAAGACCTCTTGGATATTAGGTATAAGATAGGTAAAAATTTAAAATATCAGTAAGGAGACAAGAAGATAAAGTCTCGAAATATTTTAGAAAGTCGAACAAAAGATCTTCCTAGTGGAAAGAGAGCCAGAAGTATGGAATACTGAGGAAGAAATAAATAAAAATAAGTAACAAATAATAGAAGACAATTTCTGAAAAGCTGAGAGACATGTCTTCAAACTCAAAGGACCCAGCACATGAATAGAAAAAGATTTACGACAGAGCAAAGTACTGTAAAATTTCAAAATATGGAGATAACCTTAAAAGTTAACTGAAGCTGGGCTCGGTGGCTCAGCCCGTAATCCCACGCTTTGGGAGGCTGAGGTGAGTGGACTGCCTGAGCCCGTGGGTTCGAGACCCACCTGGACAACTTGGTGAGACCTCATCTCTACAATAAATCAAAGAATTAGCCAGGTGTGGTAGCGCACGCCTGTAGTTTCAGCTACTGGAAGGCTGAGGTGGAAGGATCGCCGGAGCCCGGTAGGTAGAGGCTGCAGTGGCCGGGAGTGGCCACTGCACTCCAGTCTGGGTGACAAAGTGAGACTCCAACTCAAAAAAAAAAAAGTTAATTGAGCTGGAAAAATAGGTCATACGCAATGGTCTGAGAATGAAAATAACAACAGACTCCTTAACACTAGAAGTGACACAACAATAGAGTAATGCCTTTAATTTGAGTTTTAATTATGACTTTTATCCTATGCCATCCTGAAATTACTGATCAAGATACACTGTCACATATACAAGGATCTAACAAAGTTACCTCTCTTACTCTTTCCCAAAAAGCTGCAGCATGATGCACACTAGCAAACATAAGGAAAACTGAGATTTAAAAAACAAAGATTAAACATAAGACAGTAGTGAACAGAAATCTCAAGACAGCAACTACCTGACAGAACCAGAGGAAGGCTTCTCTAGGTTGGGAGAAAAAACTGGGGGAAGGAGGCTAGTAATTATATGTTTGAGCAGACCGTAAATATATTACATGTCTGATGCTGACACTGGAGAGTCAACAAAAAAATACCAATTGGTGCTACACAAAATTAAAAATAAAGTGGTTATCAACTCCAGGAAAAACAAAGAGCTATACAAAAGGGAGCCATGATTATATTTCACTGTTGGCTCAATAGTGAAAAATATTCTTTTAAATTGTAATTTTATAAACCTTAACCACTGATTTAGCAAAATACTGTCAGATATCTTTGATGAGGGTATAAATGGAAAGAAATTGTATGGAGAGTACAAAATGTATCACATTTCCCCTTGAGTCAATTAAAAACAAAAAGCATATTTAAGAATAAAAGAGCAGGGCAGCCCCCTTGGGTCCCCTCCCACTGTGGGAGATTTCTGTCCTCTCAATAAATCCTGCTTTCAAAAATAAATAAATAAATAAAAGAGCAAATAGCAGGGAAACAGCTAAAAGTGTTGTATAAAAATATATAAATAGAGAAGGGTCCTGAAGTGTGGGAAAGACATTGCTACTTTTTCTTTATAAGCCTCATATTTTTTGGTTTTCAAAAATGTGAATACATATTACATTGATTTAAAGGTATATATTTTGACAAAATCTCTATGACTGCAAGACGTAATTAAAATTGAAGGTTGTAAGAATAAAGCTCAAATAGGTAGCTATTTGATATGTAGCCTCAAACCAAGTCATTGAAATCTTATACTTGCTTGTAAAAGCATGCTTTCCTCTCCTTCTGTAATTATACCATTTTGAAAAACAGAAGTCTTACTTCCATTACTTTGATGTTACAAAGAGATTCCAAAATATCTGATGGTTCTTCTAATTTCTATGATTTATCACAGGAACAAACTGAAAGTACTTCTTTTGCTAATATTTTTGTAACTGATCAAAACCCTAATCTCTACATTGATTGTACTCTCAGTCATTAGAGTCTACATTAAATGCTTTGGTCTAATCAGACTAATAGCCATTGTTTTTACACCAGTATTATGTACTCAATAAATACCCAAAGTATAACTTTCTTTTTTCTCCCAATAAAGGTAATTCTTTGGAAAGTCTGAATTGACTTTAAGCTTTTCAAAAACACATAGCTATAAACTAATATAATGTACAAACCAGTTGTAAACCTAAAACTATTACTAGAATGATTCTAAACCCTCTGACAATTTTCTTTGAAGTTTGGCTTTTATCTAAAGCAAGCAACACACCCTACTCCATTAGTCTTTTTAAACTAGATATGTTTAGGCTTAGAAATAAAGAAGTTAGTACCATTCAAATATATGCATTCATGGATAATAATTGCTAATTAGTATACACATCATCAAACCCACTTATTGTGGTTTAGTTTTAAAAATAGACAAATTGATTTAATAACAAACGAATTCAAGCATGGCATTTAGAAAAAGTGATTTGTTTACCTCTGTTGGTTTGTAGCAGTCTACAAGAGCCTCCTAGAATTAAACACACAGAAGGTCAGTTTTATCATTTTAAAATTCAAAAATTTTTAAAGTAAAATAAAAAAATCATTGTACATTTATAGTATTCTCTTTATAATGGTAAATCAAGATTTCATATTGACCATCTAGAAACACATTTTATTTTACCACCAGTTAGTCATTTAAGGACATAAAAAATTATACACACATGCTATATGAAATGTTTTCTGAATAGGAAAAGATTTGTTATGCTACCATAGCATTGAAAACAAAATAGAACCCTTGACTAGGTTTTGAGTACTTCATTGAGGAAAAGAGCTTATTTTAAAGCAGGACAGGATATTCAGCTATTCATCAGTTTGTAGTCTGCCAGAGAGATGTGAACTAACTCAGTAGCTCATACCCAAGACGGCCTTCCACAGGAACTGAATCTTCAACTCCAGATTTCCCTCCATTAACTGAACATAACCCAGAAGGATCCAAATGGTTTCAAACCTACCCACCTGATCAATGACTTTTTACCTCCTCTGCATCCACATACCTTTCCATACATGCCAACTTGATTAATATTCAACTATATTTAGCTAAAATGGAAATAGCATGTGTGAGATGTTGACAATCACACTGGACTTGGAGAGCAAGAGATTTGACTGTGATTCAGTCATAGATCAGCTTGAGTCCTCATGTAGGAATTGGGGTGGGGGGTGGAAACCTGATGGTAGCCAAAAAAGTCCCTTTCAAGTTCTCAATTTTAAGAAAACTTTTTTATGTCATTACATTTTCAGGAGGACTGGTGTTGCTTTATCTTTTTTTAAAAAAATTATAACTAGGATGTTATTTTTTCCCAAATAAATCACCAAAAAGAAATAATCATTGTAACTGAGACTGTGCAACACTCAAGGGACACTAATGATGACTAATACATTAAACACATGAGTACATTAAAATGTGCCCTTTGATTGCCTAGGGACCATTTACCATTGGTGGTAACCACGAGCCATTAACAGTAATTATCAATGGACATTAAGTACAATGGCAGATCAAAAGTTAATTGGATTTAGAAACTCCCAAATGCAGATTTTAAAATGATAGATTTGACCTCCTGTGGGAAGGAAATAGGAACTATATTTTATTGCTCTCCATTAAGGAAACATTAGACATCCCAATATCCATTGTTATACTAGAATGCTGTCAGGTGAGCATTGACTATTGAAAGATAGTTTATTAAATCAAATTACATCATAAGCGATCTTACTTAGACATCAATTTCATGAATAATACAATCTACAACTGCGTAAGACCAGAACCTTGGGCTTGGATATTCCAATTCTAGCTCAGTCCCTCTCCTTCTCATACCACTGTGGGGCAACAATTTTTTGCCTTATGACTAGATCTTGGAAGGCAGGACCAGCTCTCTCTCCCAAGAAAATGAGGCTGAGAAAGTCATATCTGTAAGGAGCTTTGAAAACTGACAGCAGTCAAGAACTGCCTTATTATCTAAGATGCACTTTATAAGGGTGAAATGCTTTTCTCTCTGCTGACTGCCGTTGCCTCAGGTTCTGGTGCTAACACTGCCATGGGCAGAATTAGACCATGCCACACTCTGGAGACCTAAGTAGATTCAAGCATCTATGATTGGAAGTTTCTAGATTTTTAAAACTGCTTACCTGTAATTTTGAAGCTCTCTCTTCCTCACTGTCTGCATCAAGAAGATCATCAATGTCAATTTCTACATCTGGCATTTCTTCTTCCTGTTGGGCAGGGGAAAGGTATAAAGACATTTAATTTAGTGAGAAACTAAACGCTACCAAAGCAGTTGAGTTGAGTTGAATAAATGACTAGATCATCAATCAAGAGGGAATGGGAGAGAGGCTGGAGGAAGAGGAAGGGAGGAAGGAGAGGAAGAGGTAGAAAAAGGAGAAAAGGGGAGAAGATAGGAAGAGGAAGAAAGAAAAGAAGAGGAGGGGGAAAGGAAGAGGGAAGCAAAGGAGAATTAAGTAACAAAGCAGCAAAAAATAGTTATTTCAAAAATGATAATTTTTCTACTTTCTAGCAGAAAGCTGCACCTGAGGGGTTGGCAGATTGTAGAAAGATAGTAAATCTGTGATTTCCTACCTAACATCTACCACTCACTGGGTAAGTAGCCCAATCTTTATTCAGGTGTCTACATCTCCCTTCACAGCTCTGGGTCTATAGAGAACCTGACGCCACCATGGGTTTTTTGCACAGCAGCCTTGCCCCAGTCCTAGTACTGATTTAAGAAAGAATACATGATCCAACTGAGACCCAAAGGGGCTCTGGAAAAAGACGCTCTTTCAGCAAAAATATTCCCCCACTCCCTCTGAACAGAGAGCAGGCTGAGGAAGCACGTGGCCCAGGAAACTACTGATAGTCACCATGAAACCATGAAGAGAAACTGAGTTTAGAATAAGGCGGACTTCATAGTGGGCAGAGCTGGGAGAAATAAGAAACCAGGGTTCTAGATAAAATCACCCAGTTCTCAAGTCAAACCACCTCTGAAGCCAGCCCACCAGACAGCAAGTGAACCCCTTTTATTGTTTCAGCCAGCATGGGTGGAGTTTAACATTGCAAAAGACACCCAGTCCAGAAAATAGGGCAAGAAAGACCAGCTGGATTTGCTGAAAATTCTTCACTAATATGGAACCTAAACTTCCAACGCAATGTGGATCTTGGCTACCTCTCATGTCTTCTGCTACTCAGGTTTCCTCTATGTCTCTCAAAGGAGCATTTTGAAACAAGGGAGTCCTGTGGTTTTGCAGTCCACCTTCCCAGTAGAAGTTATGTGCAGCCCAAATCCTTCCGGTCACAGAGATGGCTGAGGGATGTCTACAGAAGTCAGAGAGAAAGCAGTGCATGGGAAGACCTGGACATTCCCTGAGCTCAGCTGCTGGTTGTCTTGGCTTTCTAGGTGAGGCTGACATTCTGAATATTTCCTTCTCAATAAAATGTATTTATTATGTAATCATGCTCAACCATGTGTGTGTGTGTGTGTGTGTGTGTGTGTGTGTGTGTGTTTTCCAACACAAAAGTGAAGACTTCAGTATATTGAGGAAACCGAAGAATATGATACTACTCTGACTGAAAGTAGTTCCTAAGTCAGGCCCTCAATGGTCAGGAAAATTCCAGAAAGAGCCCTCCCCCTGAACCCTTAGTGATTTATTCCTGTTCCTGTATTAAACCACTTCAAAATGAGTATTTATCAATGTGAATGTTTTCGGTGTCATCTGGGCAGTTCTATCTAATGGAAGAGAGGTTTTGTTTTACTCAACATAATTTTCATATTTGTATTTAATAGTAATTTACCTATTAAGAGAAGTTGGTGACCCAGAAATAGGAAGGTGAGCCGGGCACAGTAGCTCACGCCTGTAACCATAGAACTCTGGAAGGTAGAGGAAGGAGGATCACTTGAGCCCAGGAGTTCAAGATCAGCCTGGGCAACATAGCAAGACCTCGTCTCTACAAAAAATAAAAACACTAGCTGCATGTGGTGGTACATGCCTATAGTCCTAGCTACTTAGGAAGCTAAGGTGGAAGGATTGCCTGAGCCCAGGAGGTGGAAGTTGCAGTGAGCCATGATAGTGCCACTGCATTCCAGCCTGAGCAACAGAGTGAGACTCTAACTCCAAAAAAAAAAGGAATAGGAAACTGAAACGTTTTGATGAAAATAAATCAGAAGAGTAACCTTTCTATTGCCAGGAATATGGGCTCTAGAGCCAGCCAGCTCTACCATTAACCCACTATGGAACAAGCTTCTTAACCTCTCTGGCCTCAGTTTCCCCACCAGTAAAAGTAGGACAGTAAATGACAACTGCTTCATAAGGTTGACACATGGATTGAATTAATTAATTGCTATCAAGTTCTCAGAATAGTACTTGGAACACAGCTACGACTGGCTGAGCACTGATTATTATTTCTACAATACTGAAATAAAACTGAACCCAAACTAGAGGGGCAATTCTAACATCTTTAATCTTATTAGAGTCAAAATATCTAAAATAATAATACAAACAAAAGATTTTAAAAAGCATATGTGGCCAGGTACAGGGCTCACGTCTGTAATCCTAGCACTTTGGGAGGCTGAGGGAGAGGATTGCTTGAGCCCAGGAGTTCAGGATGAGCCTAGGCAACATAGTGAGACCTTGTCTCTACAGAAAATAAAAATTAAAAAATAAGCCCGGTGTGGTGGCATGCACCTATAGTCCTAGCTACTTGGGAGGCTGAGGCGGATGGATTGCCTGAGCCCAGAAAGTGAGCTGTCAACATGCCACTGCACACAAGCCTAGGTCACAGAGTGAGACCCTGACTCACACACAAAAAAGGCATATGTTAATGGTTTGAATGCGTGTTCCTTCTAAAACTCATGTTGGAATTTGGTTGCCACCGTAGTGGTGTCGGGAGGTAAGACATTTGGAGGCAATAGGGTTATGAGGGCTCTGTCCTCATGGGTGGATTAATGCCATTGTAAGTGTGTGAGTTTGGCCTTCTTCTGTCTCTTTGCCCTTCAGCTTTCCTGTTATATAAGGACACAATGTTCCACCCTCTGGGATATGTGTCATTCAAGGTGCCATCTTGGAAGTAGCGACTGGGTTCTTACCAGACACCAAACCTGCCAGTGCTTTGATCTTAGACTTTCCAGTATCCAGAACTATAGGAAATACATTTCTGTTCTTTACAAATTACTCAGTCTCGGGTATTCTGTTACAGCAACAAAAACAGACTAAACAGTATATTTTCTTTGAAAATTCTAATGATCTTGGAACTGGGAGAGAGAAAAAAAAGACCTCTTGCTGGAGAGTAGTGATAAGAATAAAGTTAACTCTTGACTTCCTAGGATGTCAGTAAAACTATAATTGCTGGGAATGTGTATCTGGCTATGTAAATATGTGTAGGAGCCTGCCTTGTCCTGGGAACCTAACCACATGAGGCAATGAATGCAAGCATCATTAACCTCCCACTCGACTCTGGGATGCTGTGGCTTTTCCTTCCTTCACTAGAATTTGTCCACCCTGTGCTTACATCCTGCAGGTCAGACCCTCTGACTGATATAGAGCAACTGTTTCCAATGAAATGCCATTTTTAAGCCCCCTAAAAGTGGGGCAGGGAAATGGGAACAGATGTACTTTCCTCAGGGAAGAGGAGGCCAAGAGGACTCCAAGGCTACACACTTCACTGTCAAAACCACACAAAGTGGGTGCTGCTGCACTCTGTGTGGGTACCTGCCTCCCTGGCTGCGACTGCCTTCTCCTCTACCCTGTTGTCATTTTCTTGCCTTGATGTTCTCTGTGCCCAACCTTCTAATTTTGTGTATATTTGAAATCACAGTTGATTAAAAAAAAAAAAAGACCAGCAGGGAGAGAAGGGGAGTCATTCAAGGAGCCACAGTATGTAGCTCTGAAGTACAGTCATGTATTATATAACAGCGTTTCACTCAACAACAACTGCATATACAATGGTGGTCCCATAAGGTTATAGTATTGTATTTTTCTTATACCTTTTATATGCTTAGATACACTACAATATAAAGTATATATCCACCATTTAAGTATATGTCTACCATATAAGGTCAAAACACCCTTAGCCAATTTCAGCTGACTCTATTTAAGAAAAGTCAAGCAAAATAGATAAACCCACAAGCTTCAATCTGTGTAACAATCTATACTGCCTCCCCGTACGTTTCCCCACTTCTCCTCAAAACAGCCCTTTGGGTTCAGGAGTATTCTTCAAGGACACATAGCATATATTTATTGTCATAGTTTAATAAAATCAAGCAAAGGAAACCAGATATAGAAACTGCTCAAGGAATCACAGCTGAGGGAAGCCTGGTGTCTGCTATTCTTAAAGCAAATAAAATGACAATCAGTAACAAACACCCTCCTCTGAAGAGCACAGCCATGGGTTTCCTGGCAAACACTATTTAAACCGTTTGGATGCCTGGCCACATGTGGTCAAACAGACTTGCGTAGCTGCGTGGCACTTCACCCCCACCCCCCTATAAGTGGGTTCCCTTGACTAGGTGCAGTCTTATTCGGGCTGCTCAAGGCTCATGGTTCGTTACTGCATTGACCCATTTTCCCAGCCTCTGAGATCTGGTAAGCACATGTGGTATCTAAATTTAAATTCATTAAAATGAAATACAATGAAGAATACAGTTCCTTAGCCACACTGGTCACATCTCAAGTATGCAATAGCTACATGTAGCAAGTGTCTACTGTACTGGACAGCACAGCCAGAGAACATGCTTGTCAAGGCAGAAGTTTCCATTGGCCAGTGCTGCCCCAGAGCATGCTCGCCCTCTGGCCCAGAACTTGGGAAGCAAAACCCCTTCCTCTCTCAAAGGGACTTGTCTGGAGTAAAAGAAAGACCGGGAATCTCATGGTCATTCCCACTGCCCTAGGGCATGTGGCTAGGAACCCTTGAGTTTGGTTTTCCAAGTGGGAGAACTGATGCGAACTAAGTACAGGTCTTCACTGACTAACTACAACAATCATTAGGCATTGGCACTTTCTACAAACCAATGCTGTGTCTCAGCACCCCAGCCCAGTTTATCAGAGGCCCAGGAGGAGCCCAAGTTCAGCAAGCACGTTGGAGCATGGACCTGGGGTGTTCTGAATGTTGGTTATGCTAAAACAAAGCCTAGGCAAGAAAAACCTAGAGACACTGGGGACCAGACAGGTAACAGGAAAGCCCTAGGGAGCAAAAATAGTACCTAGTATCAAGTATAGAATCTTGC